ATAGTCTTGTGTCGCCCGGCCTGGGGGCGGCCAATCCAGACTAAGATATAACCTGAATTCACGTCCGCCAGTTGGCCTTGGTTGGATAAACGGGGTTTTGCTAGTGCGGCGCTGTTAAGCTTGAAGTGCATCAGTGTTTCTTTTTGGGTTTTCTGACCGTAATTTTAGCAGTCTGCAAGCCACGGTCTGTTGGCAGATTACTTTTTAAGGCATTTCTCGAACCTTTCCATTTTGTGGGTGTCAGCAGCGCCGTCCCTAAATAGGGCTGTTTAGAGAGAGAACGCCTATATGCTTCAGACGTCCTACGTGATTGCATATCCCCCTCAGCGTAGGACTATTTCGACCGTGGGAAAAATGGAGTCAGCGGTTGGGGTGAGGGGGAACAGTCTACCCAATATTGTTGATACCAGTTCCTGTAACAGTTGGTATTATTACTACGACGACAAGTACTGTCCCTAAGATTACTTATAAAATTAATATGGATTCAATGATAAGACTTCAAATGACAAAGATACCTATATTTATGCTGACTATAAATCTTTATAAAAATAGTATTGATAATGACAATAATTTTATTAATAGTACTGCGAATGCGAATGAGTACAAACCTATAATGTCATATAAATGGTTTGCAGACAACTAGTAATGTTAAATTATAGGAATAAATAATAGTACACATAAAATAATCTAATACATTAGTACGTCAACACAAATACCAGACAGTTGCAAAAATACCATACAACGGGAATAGTGCAAAATCGATGATAATTATACCAATTAAAGTAGTAATGCCACTAATAGTAAGTTTGATTTCCTCATTCCGATTGCTATTTGCTCTCTCTATTCCTATTATGCTGGTACTGCTATTATTACTATTATTATCTTATTAATAGAAGGTAATATTAATCATGGTTATCGGACTAATACTCTGAAAGCTATCCTATTACTTATATCGCGTTGTGGTTAAGGTAATTAAGGTTAACCCTAACGATTGCGATCATCCAGGTCAGGTTCCTCAGGTGAGGAGAAAAAGCTTGGGAAGGCCAGTGTAGTGGGAAGAGTATTTTCTGTACAGAATAAATGGGAGAATAGGCAGTAGGAAATTGACTACCAGAAGACCGCACAACCACAAGCCAGCGGACGGTTTCTGAAGTAAAATCTGCTCAATATTCGTCACATGAAATCCTGTGTGAGTCGGCTTCGCGTGAATGGGGTTGGTAGGGGCTGTGGCACTTGTAATTGGTCTACAAGATACGTTGCAACGGTGGAGACTGTAATTACGTCGGAGAAACAGGCCGAAAATTGCAGACTCGCCTACACGAGCACAAAGTGGCGGCTCTGAGACTCGACCCAAACGCGCAACTTGCAGCACAGAGACTGGCCACGACTTTGATCTTTAATGAGCGACCATCGCAGGCCGAGGAACCTCAAAAGCCGAGAGGCCGACGCTTGAGGCGTGGTTCTCAGATATCAACTCTGTCAACAGGCATCTGGACCTGCCTGCGGCCTGCAAAATCTTGCGCCATTATGTTGGCAAAAAAACAGAACGAGGCCGAACCTAACATAAAAATGTCAAGCGAAGAGGACCCCACAATGAACCAACCGGAAGAGGAGGCAGGATTAACAGGA